ACGAATTAGTTTTCCCTGGAGTGAAGATTTCTGATAACTTGATAGGTGAGTGTAAATTATGCCAATGAGGTGTTTGATCTATTGTTATTTTGTTTAAATATCATTTTCCGATCTGTTGGCCATTAGTGCCTTGAATGTTGAACTTCAAGCTACTATATACACGGGGATTAACTCTGTGGTGAGATTTAAAAATAGGAATGAGGTTACTAACTGGCTTGAACTAATTTTTTGTCTCAATATTAGTAAGAAACAAAAAAAATATAGATTGTATATCCTTTCTTTTTTGCTTGGTTTGGCACTAGACATATATATACGTTTCCATTTTGGGAAAAAATGGGCAAAATTTGGCATGACTTTAAAAAATTGCGTTTTCCTTTCGTGATGTAGTGATAATATTCAGCTTTTCTTTTACGTATTAGAGTGTGTGCTTACATATAGGTCTATTCTATCAGGGCCGGTCCTGAGGAAATGAAGGCCCTGTGTAGAAAAAATAATTGAGCCTTCTTTTCAAAGTTTCAACACAAGTTAAAAAAACCGAACCGAAACCGCACCGACTCAAACGGGACCCGAAAGTCGGGATTCGAACATAAATCAGTTTAATGAAGGTTTTTTGAGTTATAAAATCGGTTTAAACCGAACTGAACCGATTTTTATTAAGAGGTATTTTAATTATTTATTCTGTAGAACAAATAGGTAATATAAAACTTGTACGTTCGTATTTCAACAATTAGTTGATTTGGTCCGATGGTTGATGTTTAGAAATCAGCGTGCATGCTTTTATTTTCACCTGGGTTCAAATCGTGCATGCCTCGCTCGCTCCTCCTTTGCAGATGAGGAATACGCGAAGTGACGAACCAGGCCGGCTTCAAAGCCTTGTCCTAGTCCACCTAAGTAATACTACTCTCTCCGTCCCGCTAACATTGGGACAAGAGGGAGTGACACACAAATTAATAAAAAGTGGTTTATGTGGTTGATATTGAATTGATAAAGTAAGAATAAAGTAAGAATGATTTAGAGCCACACAAATTTTACCAAATTTGGTATGAGACAATCTTAATGGGATGGACCGATAAGGTAAAATGATACAATCATAGCGGGACGGAGGTAGTTGTATACTACTACAAAAAAAAAATTGGGCCCTTCCAATTTTTTGGGCCCTGTGCGGTTGGACACCTTGCACACCATCAGGGCCGGCCCTGTATTCTATGACTTCATTCCAACAAGAATTAGTTATGTGCTTTTATTCTTACGTTGATGGGTAGATTTATAGTGTTTATTTAAGCTTAATTAAAACCAGTACATGGTAGATTTTAGTTGTAAAGGATTGGAAAACTTTATTTAATAGACTTTTCTATAAATGGTTTTTTCCTTTTTATGTTTTCCCTAAATTTCTTTTCTCTGTGCGTGATTATTTCATCACTTGCTGCACTTACATCTCTGATACAAAAAACGATATAGTTGGAGAAACAATATATGGTTCAAGTTACTGGCTATATTGTATTGAACATTTGTAGTTTCTTTGTATTATGTTACACAATGTGACCTCTAACTGAGCTTGACTTTTGTTCTTTTTGTGTGGAGCTTGACTTTTATAGGACCTCTAACTAGTTTTCTACATTCTCATTTACCCAATTGCGCAAAAGTCAATAATTTACCCAATTGTGCAAGGCGAATGTAAGAAACTAGTTGTAATATAAACGCATGTTGCAAGGAAACGAAGACTTTCTGAATGACCAAATTAAAGTCAACCCAAGGTTAAATAAAATGCAGTGTAAAATATATATACTACGTGCAAATTTTTAAATAATAAATCGAAAAGGCCGCCAATGCTTTCAATATATTTACAATTTGAACTGAAGGCAAAGTGTTGTGTGATATGTGGATATTCATTACTCTTACGTGCTCATATGTATTACTAGGGTTCAACTCTTTAACATGTGTAACCATAATAATCACATTCTCTCTTGTATGCATCCTATATGTGAATGAAAAGGCTAGGATAACTTTTGATATTGTTCACAATAAAATATACTCTGTATATTGTAGTAATTTATAGAGAGTAGCAGAGATATTGTACTTAAACAGTAAATTGTATTTATAACGAAAGCAATATTTTAGTGAAAACAAATAAAGTAAAGAGTAAAAAATACTCATAGTTTGCTTTTGACATGAAAATATTAGGGCATGTTTACTAATAGAGATATTTTCCAATTTTCCAGAAAACTGGAAAACATGAAAAGGGAAAACAGAATGAGATATGACTTTGTTTTCCTTAATACATTGGAGAAGTGAGTTTTACTAGTTTTCCTCATTTGGAAAACCCGGATGTTGCAGTGCCGCTACAATGAATTTGCATACTTACGTCTAGTGGTGGATTCGGTCTAGCTCCGGTGTCAGTTCCAGTCTGGTCAACGACTCGACGATCCCTATCTGATCCGTTCAACGTCCCGGTGTCCAGTCCGGCCAACAAACCGGTGGTCCCTGTTCAGTCCGGTCGACGACTCGGCGGTCTCTGTCTGGTTCGGTCCATGACCTGGCGGTCCCTGTCCAGTCTGGTCCATGACTCGACGGTCCCTGTCTGTTTCGATCCACAACCAAGCGGTACCTATTCGGTCCAGTCGACGATCGGGAAGTCCCGGTCCAATCCGGTTTGATTAACGACTCAGCAGTCCCCATCTTGTTCGGTCAACAACCTGATGGTCAATGGCCCAACGGTTCATGTCCTGTGTGGCCGATGATCCAACAGCCTATGTTTGGTCTGATCGACAACTGGGCGGTCCCAGACTGGTCCCATCAACGACCCGATGGTCTCTATCCGGGCCAGTCACGACATTTCGGTCTCGGTTTTCTGAAATCGTTTTTTAAAGTGAAGAATTTTAAAAGAATTGTTGAGTTGTCAACCAATAAGAAAATGTGAAAAGGATTAGTTAAACTAACCGTTGAGATCGATCGGGACCGACCAGTTTCGATCTCGAATTTCCTATATGTGTGACCTGGTACCCTACTTGGGTTCTACTAGGTTCTACTCCGGACTAGAACCGTACTTTTGGTCTTCTGATCGGTCACTATGCATGGTGAAAAATTTTGATAAACATGTTTTTAGATATGAAAATGGAAAACTAAAACATGAAAACAGAAAATTGGAGATAGAAAAACTGGAAAATGAAAACTAGAAAATATGAGAACAGAAACAGAAAAGAAAACTTGAAAATATCTCTGTTAGTAAACAGGCCCTTAGGTTTTATAAAATTATACGGAGTAACTATTTGTAAAACAATTTGTCAAAAAATCTTTATACAAATATAAAGAGGGTTTTATTTATAGGAATTAAGTATTGTTGTAGTTCATGCAAATATGACACATTTTGTTTTAAGTTCCTGCAAAATAATCTTTTGTTTTCATCTCTGTAATATGTACTATATTGTTTTGAGTAAATTCCTAATTCCGAAACAACTCCTCCGTTCACACAAAAATATTGTCGGTTGCATAAATAATCTACTAGAACTGTTAATTTTTTAATATTTGTTAGGCTAATATGAGAGCTAAAATAATGTAAAACTGCTTATTTATATTTTTCAAATATGTATTAAAAACCTTCTAAAGACCATAATTAAATACTCTTTGAATAACATGATAAGAAATTAGAGGAAATCTATTATCAGGTTGTTTCGTTGTAAACAGGGGTTGTTATCATCAATGATGGACTAAAAAGAATACCAACTTAAATTTCACGTATGAAAAACAAAAACATACATTTGCAAGGATGTAAAAATGTACTCCGTACTATATTTGCAGAAAGTAAAAACGTATTTAAACATATTTATACGATGTAGTAATTAAGGAAATATGTGTGCAAAATGAATCTATTTACTTTTATTGGTTTGGTGAGAAAAAATTAAATATTGAGAAAGAGTTCCTTTGGTAATCCATATTCTCAACTAAACTTATCTATCTAGTGACATTTTTTATCAAACACATAGAGTCTGATTGGTGACCATATTTTTCAATTTATCAAACTTATCAGTCAATTATTTCACCAAACACGTAACTTTTGAAAGGACCGGCTATGGCGGCCAGGCACATAGGCATATGCCTAGGGCCTCATCACTAATTGGGCACCAATATAAGGAAATATAAACTTATCATGGGGTAAATTTTACTGTTTTGACACTGTTTCCACATTGTTTGGCATTGTTTTGCACTGTTCCGACACTGTTTGGCACTGTTTTGCACTGTTTGACACTCTTTTGATCTAGATTAACTTGCCATTTAAGGAAATGAGAACTTGTTTCTGGGACATCCAAAAAAGGAAAGTGGGAAGTTCATTGAGGGACGGAGGGAGTACTTAGTATTATGTGTATTTGCTCTGGCTGTGTGATCTATGACGCCAATCAAATATGCAGTAGAAAAAGAAAACACATACTCCCTCCGTTCTTTTTTAGTTGCAACAGTCAACATTTCATATATTCCAATGCATGTCTTTGACCGTAATTTAATCTTAATTCTATTAGTAAAAAATACTCCGTATTAAAAAACAGATTTTGAAAATTTATAATCAAATGAATTGAACAATATTTTTTTAAAAATAATTTTCATAAAATAAGAGTGTAAAATGTAATCAAAGTAGAGCATGTGAATAGTGTAAAATTCAACATGTTGCGATTAAAACGGAACGGAGAATGGTAAAATAAATTTACACCTTGAAAACACGTGTATGAGCCGCTTGTCCATCATAGAGCCATTTCAACATAATTTTATGGCTGAGTCAATTCATGGACGTTCCACCAGGGCACCCGTACACAAGTTAAATGAAAATTCGAAACTTAGCTAAAAATTGAAGCGTTTTCCTTTAATGTATACATACACTAGATATAAAAGTGAATGTCTTTTCATAATAATTACTTTTTTAGTAAGAGGGGTTATTTATATATATTCAGATATTAAATTTTATTTTTGTCCCTTAAAATAAGCAGTGGTGGAATCAGAACTTTTTTCGAGTAGGTGCCGAAAAATGTATCAAATAAATACATCATAATAAATTTAGAAAAAAATGCATATGATTGTGTAAATTAAGTGTCGTAAAGTTTAATGTTTACATATAAGTCCAAAACTAACTACTCTAGGAAACTAGGGGAGATAAATGTGTCCTCCGAGTTCGCATCTGTTGAAAGCGTTGCAAAATTACTTCATTTTCAATGGTTGCAAAAATCTCTTTCTCGATATATACAACCAAGCTATCATTCATCCTTTCATCTCCCATCCTATTGCGCAAATCAGTCTTGATGATTTTCATAGCAGAGAAGACTTTTTCTACTGAAGCAGTTGCAACCGGTAAAACCAGAGCTAACTCAATAAGTTGGTATACCAATGAAAAAACCTTGTTCATTCCAGTTTGAACCATTTGCTTGGCAAGACATCCTAAATCATCAACCGTAGAAAATTGCTCATGATCCCGGACGGTATGAATATAAGTCTGAAGTTGTTGCTTGAGTAAAACACGATCGGTACATGAAAAGTCCTCCGGATAAAGTTTAGCCATGCGGAGTAATTTGTCAATGTCAAAATGACAAAAAGAGTTTTTTGGATCAAGACATGCAATACAACTCAACAACTCCATACTTGCTTTAGGAAAACGATTGCTCATCTCTGAAATGATCTTATCAAGAACCTATCACACCATAAAGACAACATTATTGAGCAAAAATATTATTATCAATTTATAATAAAAGAAGATGTAAAATAATTATACCTCACAAAATATTCCCCCACGAAAGTGGATCGAATTCGAAATTGTCTCTCCATTTCGCCTACTACGACCACGAACTTTCACATGTTCTTCCATATTAGCTAATGGAATCTTTTGATTTTCACAAAAAAAATCACTTCCTTGAAGAGATTATCTCATCCATTATCTCGAAATTCTTGTAACCGGGCCTTCATTGTACTAATCAAATGGATAGCCAAGACAATATTTTGATCTTTTTGTTGCAAGGCAAGAGACAATTCATTTGTGATTCCAAGTAGATATATCATCAAGTGCATCACAAATACAAATTCATAATTCTCCATCTTATCAATTAAGCTTGAAGCTATTCCTCGCTCTTCATTAGCACCATCCTCATACACATTCTCAAGGGCTTTTAATACGGAACTCCACATAGACATCAAGTGAATAATAGTACTGTAATGTGATCCCCAACGAGTATCTCCTGATCTTTTCAAACTAACTTCTTGATTTTTCCCCTTGTCACTTACAATCTCCCCCCTTTCCAAATTTTCTAGAAGCCTCTCATGTTCTATTTGTCTAAGTCTATCTCTTCTTTTACATGAAGCCCCGGTGGCATTCACAATCATAGTGACATATTGAAAAAAGTCACACACAATTCTATTACACTTAGCAACAACAACAACAACTAGTTGGAGTTGGTTTGAAAAACAATGGACATACCTTGCGGCTGAATTTTCTTTCAAGATGAGAGCGTTCAATCCATTATACTCACCTCGCATATTAGAAGCTCCATCGTATCATTGACCTCTTAATCTTGATATTGAAAATTTATGTTTTGCAAACAATTCATCAATATAGTTCTTTAAAGAAAGAGCCGAAGTGTCATTGACATGCACCATAGCAAGAAAACGTTCAATGACATGTCCAAATTTGTTCACATATCTCACAACAACTCCCATTTGCTCCTTGATTGAGACGTCTCTAGATTCATCAACCATAAGAGTAAAAACTTTATCCCCTAAGTCTTCAAGAATAATTTTGGTAACTTCCACAGATAAAGCATTAGTTAGCTCCTTTTGGATTTTAGGAGATGTCATTAAATTATTCCCGGGAGCATTCTCATTCATTGTTTTGGCAACTTCTTTACTTCTTTGGGTATACCATTAAATTAGTTCAAGGAAATTACCTTTATTCAAAGAATTCGAAGACTCATCATGACCACGAAAGGGCAAACCTTGTTTCAAAAGAAAACGTGTTACATCCAAAATCGCTGTTAAACGAATTCGATATGCAGCTTCTATTTCACGCCCTTGAGCACTTAGCAATTGTGATACACTTTGTCTTTGATTTTGAAAACCCTCAAGTTGTACTCTTGCATTATTATGAGCACTATCTACAACACCAACATGTGTATTAAATGTTTCAAGTGCTTTCCTCCAATTACTAACCTCCACCTCAGTGAATGCCACTTCCTCAGCCCGACATCCTCTATTTGAATTTTTGAAGAGATAGCACCATAGACAAAAAGCGGCATCTTTTGATATGCTATATTCTAACCATGGATATTTGTCAAACCAAGAGGGTTGAAAACTTCTATAATCGGTCTCATAATTTTTATGGGGATAAACATGCCCAACTGGTTTACAAGGACTCCTAGTTAAGTATTCTCGGCGGACAAGATCTCTACTCAAAGGATCAAAATCATTAATAGGTCTACGTAAACTTGGATCGCAACCACATCTTCGAGATTTAGTTCAACATGTAATAGTTTTGTCCTTTTATTTTCTTCAAAAGGACTTTTTGAAGATTTTCCATTCGATATTAAGAATTTCAACATTTTTAACCTAACAAATTGTACAACAATAAATTCATATATTAATTAGCCTTGATTTGTATGTAATCACTACATTCACTATTAAATTAATAAGACAATTTAGTTAAAATGTATAATGAATTACCAAAATTTTAATTTAAATTAAAAAGGGGAAAATAGGAAAACTGAGATTCTGAGAAGTGAGAACGGAGAATGTTAGAATTCCACACCGGAAAAGTTTGAATCAACAAAGTGCTATATTAAAACATGGGCACTCTTCGTATCAGGTTAATCTTTTAGGATGTAACCTCGCCAGAGCATGAACCAAACTGAAATAACCTCACGACCTCAACAATGAACGACCAAAACAACGTGAATGGCTCAAACGCTGGAAGCTCTTCGGCGAATGGGTTGTCCACCGGCAACGGAATACCGCGACGAAAGATCACAGACCCTTCTTCGGCGTATTATTTATCCACCTCGGATTTTCCGGTGTGGGATTCTAACAGAGAACCTACCGGTCACAGGGGCGTCGAGCAGGAAGATGACGGTCCGGTGTGGCGGCGTCCGGCGTAGCCTTGATTTGGTGGTTGCTGCTTGGTTGCTTGCGCAGGACTGCAGGAGCAGGGACAGAAGAGTGAAGAGTCTGAAGACCGTCCTCTTGGATGCGAAAATTAAAAAGGTCATTGGGCCTTGGTTGATTGCTGCAGGCTGCGAAAATTAAAAAGGTCATTGGGCCTGGGTTCCTGAAAATTAAAAAGGTCATTGGGCCTTTAATTTAAAAGGTCTAATTTTTTTTTCCTCGCTTCTTCCAGTCTTCCCTGTCCTTCAGCCGGCAAACAGAGGCACAGCCGCACAGAGACAGAGCTCTCCAACTCTCCAAGAGGTCAACAGCTCGACGGAAAACTAGTCTGGCGGCACTGCGGCAGATCCGCCCCTGGGTGCTGGTAATGAAACTGCGGCAGGTGAGCGGGTCCGCCGCTGAAAATAAGTACCGTGCGCAACATTTTTTTCTGTTACTTTTGTGTTATAAAGTATTTTCTTAAATTTATTCAGTATAAATTATGTTCCTGATTTTATGTATGATGAAATATAATAAATAGCTTGTTTTAAATATGATTTAGTGCTGAAATACTTTTCTTTAGTGCTACGTACGTAGTATAAGTTTTACTATGACACATAAACCAAAGAAAAACTAAAGATAAAACTTACTACAATCGTTCTCTTTTATGTGTCTTACTTCCTTTAGTGTTCCGCACACTTTCTTGTAAAATGGTTGTAAAAGTAAAATTATGATTGATATTTTTGAATATACTAAAGTGAAATGATGTAGGTCACATATAACTCTTCTCCGAAAAGGAAATGTGATAATTATTACTCGTATATGATAACTTAAAAAGAAAATAAAAGAAGTAAAATAGGACGGAGCAAGTAATAAAGAAAGAGAAGTTACACACCTTTATTGTGTCCTATGGATATATATGTGAAAACAAATGTCTAAGCTTGTAATAGAAACATAGACACGTTTTAAATTTTTGCAACCATGTTTCTCAAATTGTGACCTATAATTTAAGTATTTGGTTTTATTTTTCTTTAATTTTTTAATCAACCATTCCATATATTTTTCGTCTAGGGCACCAAATTTTTCAAAGACGGCCCTGACTTTTGATTTCATACGTTAATTGTGTTTTAATAAAAAAAAGTAAAGTTAGATTTACTTTATCGGCTGAAGTTATTGTAAATGATCAGTTTAGCTATTATTCATAAATAAGAAGAATCAATCAATTCAACCATTTTAACTAAAAAATTGTAAGTTTCAACGGAATCAATCACCAACTAAAATTCAATTTACTTTTGTAATTGAGTGAATGTCAAATTTAGCTATTTTAATACCAAGTACTCCGTATAAATTTTTATCACTCAACAAATTTTATTGAGTTTTTTTTTGAATTAATGCTAATTAATTAATTACGAAAATAATGTTGGGTTAAAAGTATTTACCGATCTACTGCTGCGTTTAACCATGGTCGGGGTAAGTCCCCAAACGGTTGGGCGACTTATAAGTCGCCATCCGGTTTGGCGACTTATAAGTCGTCCAACCGTTTGGCGACTTACCTCTTAAATAGCCCAGTGGGTTGGGTCAGCCAGGCAGAACGCGTTTTTCTCAAAAACATCAACACAGTACAATAATTCAATATTCATAACACAATAGTCATCTAATATTCATAACCGAACACATTAACACATCATAAAAGAGTTTACAGGTGAAAATACGTAAAATAAAGTCAATTTTTCCTACAACATCTAGTGTACAAGAAAAACTCCAATACAAAAGACAAACTACAAGTTCTCATGGTCTTCTTGATCGTCTTGGTCATGGAGATGGCTACGCCTACGCCGCTGTTGCTCCAATACAGATGTTGCTGTTGCTGCCTACGCCTACGCCGCTGGCGTGGTTGAAGAATCACTCTCTCATGCTGAGTCTGGGATGATGAAGCCGCCACCGCACTAGATGTCGATGACATATCCTTAGATGGGGGCATATGTATAAGATGGCCGTAGTCGACTCGCCCCAACACATGCATCTGAACACAACGAGGCAATGCCCGTCAAAGCCTGACCTTGCATGTCCACGTCATGTGTATCACTCACTCTGGCAGTAGCCCGCTGATGTATACGCTGCAAAGCTCGTGTCTGAAATATGAAACACAATTACAATTAGTTAGAAATAAATAAAAATGTTAAATAAAGAAAATGACTTACTTTAGTAATTAGTAATATACTCAGCGTCAGATGCAAAGCCAAGGAACTAGGCTGATAATGGTGAGTAGGGAGTCTGAACGAAGGAGACACAAATAAACGAGTGATGTTGTAATACCATCCCATGTGGTCTCCCGAAACAGATGAGACTAATGTCGGTGTCCCAGTCACAACAAGCTCAGCTCGCCTCTCCCACATAGTGACGTATCGGACATGTCTGAGTGCCCAATCCTCCGTATGTTTCCCACGCATATCCAACCTATGAAGCTCTACATATGTGTCGATAGGTGTTGGAATGACATGCTTATACCCAAACTATCGCAATACACGATCAGGAAAATGAAGCTCAACAATGTCAAAACATATCAACGGCACACGTGCTCACCATATGTGAGAATGCTCTCATCCAGCGGGGGTAACTCTGCAAACATCTCACCTGTATACATCATCCATGTAATCTGTTTCATAAAGATACAAAATTAGTATTTCTGCTATACATATTATAGTTAATGTTATATTACGCACACCATACCTGATCCTCAGATATCCGATCTGTGACACCGCACCCGAACGTCCTTGAAATTCAAATTTAATTTCAAAGCTTATGTATTGAATTTCTCTATTTTCGAACAATTATAAAACGATTAAAGTTTTACGGAACATATGATTAATCATATTACTATTTGGGCTCATATAATGGTAATGGACTTCTAAATAATTAATTGGACCATATTATTGATATTGGTGCCCAAAATTTTTAAATAAAGATATACAACCCCTCAGTACAATGTAAGAGCGGTCGGGCAGCCCAAATGTTATTTTGGGCCTAACCTGCTAAAAATAGTAATTATTCAAGAATGACGTCATAGATCCACTGGAGGGTGACCCCACACGGTTAGCAGCCCAGCTACATGAATATTAATGTCATAAATAAGTGATAGAATGATTGGAGAAGAATACAAATGCCTATGGTGGATTGATATGGGAACCTGAAGATAATGGTGTCTTCTCCTTTAAGTCTGTGTTTGATGTTGTTAGAGATGAGTAACCAAGCATGTTCTCCTTTAGGCATGCTTGGCATCCAATGCAACCCATGAAGATAAAAAAATTTCTTTGGAAGGTCCTACATGGCATTATCCCTGTCACTCATAAACATCAAAGATTCCAGCATGTCTTAAATCCATCCAGATGCCCTCTTTGTAGAAGACAAAAGGATTCCATGGAACATTTGTTATATAAGTGTGAAGTGGTGAAACCTATATGGCGTTATTTCATGAATATTTTGGGGATTTCTATAAGATACAGTTGTAGTTCTCTCCGGCAACTTCTCATGAATTGGTGGTTGAATGCTGGTAGTAAAACTGTAATTGATCTTTTTAGACATAATATCCCAGGTGTTATTTGTTGGTTTGTTTAGAAGAATTATACAGGCATCGTTTGATGCAACAAGGAAAACATTCCTAATACTCAAGAAATTATTCTTCAGATTAAACATCATACGCAGGCCTGGGCTTCGAGTTTTAGTAGATTGAAAGTTCGTTCAATTGAGGATGTTCTGTTTGAGGAAAAACTTATCCCTAAGAATTTTAAAATTTCAGGTACTCAAATCAGGGCTCTTCGTTGGAATAAGCCTCAAACTCAGATGAAGTTAAACACCGATGCTAGCTTCATACCTGGGAAAGTTGCAGGTGGTGCGATTTTGAGAAATGAGAAGGGAGAGTTGGTTGTTGCGATTTCTTTTCCGCTGGTTGCCTCCACGAGCTTAGATGCAGAGATGCAATCTATCTGCACTGCTATCAAATGGGCGATTGAAGAAGGATTCTCTCAGTTCCTTGTTGAGACAGATGCGGCACAGGTGATTTCTTGTTTCGATCAGGTAGGCGGAAGGTGGAATATCCTAATTCAGGAGATGAAGCTGATTCGAATTAGGCAAGGTATAGCAATTGGACATACCTTGCGGGAATGTAATTGGACCGCTCACCATTTAGCGAATAATTTTACAACCCAGCTGCAAATTTACCGTAGGCCCAAAGATTTACCTTTAACGGCCCGACAGGCTTATTTTAGAGATTTATTTGGGCTCCCATCCTTCATATGCTTTTACTAGTTATCTTGGTTTCATTTTCTTTGCTGTTCTTTTCCTTCTTTTAGGTCAGGTCTAGCCCCCCATTAGAGCTTTATTTTTCTTTTCACACTTGTATTTTTAGAGGGAATGCCCTCTAGAAGAGGTTTTGGTCTAGTCCCCCTCTTCACTTTGTATCCCCTTTTTTTCAATAAAATCTGGAAAATGTTCCCCGGCATTTGCCCCACTGATTTTGGTGGTTTGCCTTCCAGGTAAAAAAAAATACAAATGCCTATGGTCCCATCTTAGGCATTATTAGGCTAAATAATGGGAATAAGGTTTTCTTTATAATTATACATCATATAAATTATTGGGACCACCCTACACATATTAGAGATCAATAATATGATGTAGAGGGTTGACTTGTCCTAAATAAATTAGGGAGAGTACAAAAGTACATCTTATGACAAAAGACAAAAACAATATGACCCATCTTCCCACTTTTGGAAGTATTGATAGATATTTTGCTCCCAAATTAATTAGGGGACATAAGAGTGCGCCCCACACCTTCCTTGCACCTGCAAATTAAGTACAATAATGTTAGAATGGGGGAGGGGGTCAGACATAATTGACTTGGAGCTGAACTTGACATAAGAAATCAAGGAAGGAGACCCACACGTGCTAAATACATCTCATGGAGTCCATAGCAATTCATTTCACTCCACACAACCTACCCAACTTATTTGAGGGGTCTTAGATACCTCCCCCTCACCCCTCATTCGAACTTAAAAGATAATGAAGAGAGAGGAGCCGCACAAACCGAGAAGAGAAGAAATAGGAGAGCCTTCTTGTGCGACTCATATCTCGAATTCTGCTCATCCAAAAGGGGCGTGACAGGTGTCCACTGAAAGCTCTCGCAAATAGGAATCCATAGACGTGCGGTTTGAAGAAACCTGAGCAGTTTAAAGCCTCCAAATCATCCGAACAGAACGCAACCTCGCAGAGTACGTTTTTGGTATTCAAAGTAAGTTCGAATCCAAAACCTTCCTTTCTATTGTCTAAATCCTATGAATGATTGAAGAACTATTATACACTGGTTTAAGTGTATAAAATGTTGTTGTAGAGTAACTTTAATTGTTGGAAAGGTTAGATACTAACCTAGACTAAACCTTGAAAGGTTAGAGAACGAATTCACCGGAAAACACCCGTTCTATGGGCTGTTTTCGTGTCTTCGGTTAGGAGTTGAGCAAGCACCTTGAGGAGGCTTTTTAACACTCATTTATAAGCAAGGAATCAATTCTCAAACCCCCTTGGCCGAAGCTTGAGCGTTGGGTTGAGAAGGAACAATTTAAAGCTCATTTGATGTGAGGATCGACATCTAGTTGCTTACAACTTGTAGGTTAAGCATGAGATT